TCTAATTAAGACAACCTTAAAGAAGACTTGGTGGTGAAGCCTTGCACACCACCTGTGATCTTCAGCGCCCCCTACAGGGGGACGCAGACCTCGGGTTGGGAACCAATGAGGTAAAGTAACAAGACTGTATGTGTGCCTTTTTTCTGTCTCTGTATGTCCTATTCTCCTCTTCTTTCTTCTCTCTGTCTTTTTCCAACTGATGCCAGACACATCTTTGTTTCATGTTAATGCTCATTGGCTTGTGCATGTTTACATGTGGTCTGTAGATTATTTATAGCTCTTTGGTCGACTGGTTTCTTCTTCTTCTTCTTCTTCTTCTGCAGAGGAGCAGAGGAGAGAGCCTCCTCTGCTCCTCTGCTCTGAGAAATAACATGCTGTCTTTGATCAGCCCCATTCAGGACTTTGTGTACTGAACGCTGAATGAAATACATAAAACCTGTGATGTCGCCGTGAATTAAATGCTGCTGGGCTTTGGTTCTTGTGTCACCTGTAACCACGGCAACAAGCAGATACCGCTGGGAGGAAATGTCCTTCAACTGTGGGGGAATGTGGCGGTAAATCAGCAGCTGGCAGAGTGAAAAGAGCGTCTGGCGGTTATCTCAGCAAAAGAGCGCTGTTATATATTATCGGTTGATCACCTAAAGTTATTAAGTGAGACATCAGTGTCACTTCAAAGAAATCCTTCTCTGAAAAGAAAGACATTTCTAAGAAAACTGCTTTTTACAACCGTTAATGTAGCTTGTTGAAGATGTATCAATGAATGTCTCTTTGCAAAAAACTAAATAAATAAAAAGATGCAAATATATATATATCGATGAATGACAGGTGAAGGCTATAGAAAAGCCTTTTTTATTATAACAATTTGGTATGTAATAGATTTATTTTCTTCTCTCAAAATGTCCTTTTCAAGTGGTTTACATATTTAGCTAAGAAAGGCAAGTTTATTTATATTATTCAACACAAGGCAATTCAGTATCAGTTTAAGTGCTTTACAAAAATGAAAGACATTAAGAGCACTTAGAAACATATTATAAAATGATATCTAGAAACACTCATTTAAAAGAAAAGATAAAAAGCAAAGATAATAAAAGTTAAGATAGTTTAAGATATGAATATATCAATTAAAAGCAGCGGCAAAAAGAAAAGTCTTCAGCCTGGATTTAAAAGTAGTCAGAGTTGCAGCGGACCTGCAGGTTTCTGGGAGTTTGTTCCAGATATTTGGAGCATAATAACTGAACGCTGCTTCTCCATGTTTAGTTCTGACTCTGGGGACAGAAAGCTGACCAGTCCCTGAAGACCTGAGAGATCTGGATGGTTCATAATTTAGCAGGAGGTCAGAAATGTATCCTGGGCCTAAACCATTCAGTGCTTTATAAACCAGCAGCAGTATTTTGAAATCTATTCTTTGGCACACAGGAAGCCAGTGTAAAGACTTCAGAACTGGAGTGATGTGATCCACTTTCTTAGTGTTAGTGAGGACTCGAGCAGCGGCGTTCTGAATCAGCTGCAGCTTCCTAATAGATTTTTTAGTGAGACCTGTGAAGACACCATTGCAGTAGTCGAGTCTACTGAAGATAAAAGCATGGACAAGTTTTTCCAAATCCTGCTGTGACATTAGTCTTTTAATCCTAGATATATTCTTTAGGTGATAGTTGGCTGATTTAGTAACTGTTTTAATGTGACTGTTGAAACTCAGGTCAGAGTCCATGACTACACGTAGATTTCTGGCTTTATCTGTTGTTTTGAACATTGCAGACTGAAGCTCAGCGCTAACTTTTATACGTTCTGCCTTGGCTCCAAAGACCATTACCTCAGTTTTATCTTTGTTTAATTGGAGAAAGTTCTGACACATCCAGTCATTGATTTGTTCAATGCACTTACTCAGTGTTTGAATTGGAGCATTGTCTCCTGGTGAAATTGTTACGTAAATGTGTGTGTCATCTGCATAGCTATGGTAACTTATTTTGTTGTTCTTCATTATCTGAGCCAGTGGTAGCATGTAGATGTTAAAGAGAAGAGGCCCCAAGATGGAGCCTTGAGGTACCCCACATGTCATATTTGTCAACTCAGATGTGTATTTACCTATAGAAACAAAGTTGTTTCTGTCCTTTAAGTAGGATTCAAACCAATTTAGAACTGTTTCCGAAAGTCCCACCCAGTTTTCCAGTCGGTCTAGTAATATGTTGTGGTCAACAGTGTCAAACGCAGCACTGAGATCTAATAATACTAACACTGAAGTTCTGCCACTGTCTGTGTTTAAGTGGATGTCATTGAAGACCTTTACAAGAGCAGTCTCAGTGCTGTGGTTTGGACGAAAGCCTGACTGGAACACATCGAAACAGTTATTTAAATGCAAGAAATTACTCAACTGTTGAAAAACTACTTTTTCAATGATTTTACCTAGAAATGGGAGGTTTGATATGGGCCTGTAATTGTTCATTGCTGAAGCATCCAGATTATTCTGAGCGGTTTAATGAAAGAAAGGTATTTTTTATCTAATTGAACTGGCTTTGCAGGCCAACTTAAAAAAACGCTATATTTAACAGTATATCAAATAAACAACATTTACCATATGCCTGTGTGCTAAGCCAGAAGAAAGGGTCTTTAAATGCATTTAACTGTGGAACTGAGAGATAAAGCTGAACTACAATATGGTTTTACAAATATCCCCTCTAAGACACACGCACACACATACACACACACACACCTAAAGTACGTCACCCTCATATGCGAACAATTACATGGCCTGCTCCTGTGAATAAATTAGTCTAATCAAGTTCTCTCTTCCCTGACATCCGTGCCTAAATCCCCTTACTCCATGAACAACGCACAGCATCCCCCAGCCTGCAACACACCCACAGTGCCCCGTCCTCGCTTTATTCCGTCCTTCCTGTACAGTGTGCATCCAGCGTGAGTAGGAAAGTTAAGGTAAGAAAGTAAAGATGTTTTCTAAGCAAAACATTTCACGAGCACAAAACGCTGCACGAGTCGATGACATTTTCTGGTTGCAGTTGTGTTGCCCTACTTTTTGCAGGAAGCAACTGCGTGTGCACATATCATCATACGTGTGACCTTTTTAGTACACCGGGTACTAAGACGAGCGGAGGGGTTCTGAACCACCAGTGATTACCTGCTAACGCACATGCAGTAAAAACTGAGTTGCAGCAGTGCAAGTGGGACGAAATGAAGGCATGAATGATCATCCCCATCTGGAGGAACAATGAGCCTAAGATAAGCCATATTCCATGTGTAGGTAAGGAGAGGAGCAGCAAAAGCCCCTGACTCTGGGTCAAGACTAAGAGAGTTAATGAATGAGAGAAACCCAATCTATTCATTCACTTTGTGGGAAACCAGACAATATTAAGCTGTACTGAAATGCAGAAAATTACTGGACATAGGATCATTATTTGATATTTGATATTTAAGGTTATTGATACAAAATATAAAGGTTTAAAATGAATAATAATTTCACAGTTGAAGTCTGAGCGGATGGCAGAATAGGACCCAGAACAGACTGGAAGTGACTGTCAATAGGGTGAAGGAAGAGATAAAACAGATGGAATATCAAATGTCACATAGGTAAGCAACTTTTGTGTTATAAAATAAATACCATTTCGCTGTGACTTTCAGGTTAATCACTTTTATGAATGAAAATCAACGTGCTGTATGTGGCTTACTCTTTCCCAATGTCCTTACTCTATCTGTTCATTCTATGCTCATCTTTAACACTTATTCTGCTGCCAAAATGTGTGGTAAAGTATATCAAACACTCTTCTCTTCTCTCCTTGACTCCTCTTACTTGACATCCTGTAACGGCTATACTGGTTCTTGAATACATCCGCATGTCTCCTGGCAACAGATGTCTCCCATTCTGGCACACTGGGTGCTCACAGTGCCAGGCTATACATTACATCTATAATGTAGCACATGTCCCACAAAGTGTCGGTCCCACTGTCACTGACATACTGTAAGGACCAAAGAGAGCTCAGCCTTAAACACACAGCATACACTTTCACACAGGCAGACAGACACACTTATAGTGTATTTCATTTGAGTCAAGTGACATATTCTCAAATGTAGCCTGATTAAGTTTCTCCATTTATGTTTGTTAAAGATCCAAGTAAACTGGGATGTCTTAAGGACACAACATTTGACACACAAATGGTATACACACTCATACAATGCTCTGTTTAGATGACAAAGGCCTGTTGCTATGAAACACTGCGAGCATTGACAGTTAAAATGTGCAGCTGAAAGCAGTATTTTCCTCAAGATAACACTTCATCACAACAAACGCTGCTTGTGAAAAGATAAACAAATCAATGCTCTCCAGAGTAATTGGCTGAAGCTTCAATTCAAAGCAATAGTGTTGCTTTTAAAGGAAGACAGCTATTGGAAAATAGTCTCTTGATAAATTGGATAATTGTTCCAAAGTGAGGCATTGTTAAACGTCTTGGACTGAGATAAAGAGAGAACATCTCCATTTCAAGTTTCCACTCACAAAGCTAAAGTATTGATGCACAGATCATGCCGACTGTGCAGAGAGGGCTATGTTGTCAAGATAAGTATTGGTGACCATGGCTTTGGTTGCTGGGCAACTAAAATATACATTGTAATTAACTATGTGCCCATTGTCAACTGACAGTGATTTGCAGTGCAGCTCAGATGTTGGGTTGTTTTTTTTGTTTGTCTCAAACAGTGGTAACATTATTGTCCTTTTATTGGCCTCAGCATAGTAAAGTATAAAAAGGAATTACAAAAAGCACAAATGTGCAAATGAAATGGTAGCAGATTAGGAAACAGAGGCTTCGCAGTAAACGTTGATAAATCATACACTTTGGGGAAAAAGGCTAATTAAAAAAAGAATCCTCTGGTGCTGTTATGTTGATTTAGTAAGTTTACGCAAGTTATCAACCATTAAGATAAAGATTTAGTGGTTTACAATGCTCTCTCAGAGTGGAGGAGAGAAATGTACAGGAAAGTAATCAGACAGGACTTACTTCTTGGGCTGATTTTCTTTTCGGTCAGCAGAGCCGAGACTCTGGAAATAAGAGGAGAAAAACAGACATTACAATCACCATCAAAGTGGCTCTCCATCCTACTTTCTTATAGAGGACATACTGCAAAACCATGGGGTGGGTGAGAGCATTTTATACAGTACATGTGCATACAATATGCATGAGATATATATAATGCCAACAATTCCGATTGTATTTTGTGGTTTGGCTATCCTGAAACCAAAATGTAATACCCTCAATCAAAACATCAGCACGTTTAACAACCTAAAAACAATCACATTTCACCAACCCTAAAACAGGAATGTCCTACCTTCCACCTTAATTGGGTCATGACCTAGAATAATATCTCCCTCTAATCTGGACATCTACCTTCAAGGCAACACCAATCACATGATCAATGTCCCCCTGTGAGCGCTAAAATGTGGGTAATGGCTTTGTCTCTGGTGAAAAACAATTAGCTCCCCGGCTTCAACTACAAACACTATTCAGAGGATTTACTTTAGGCACGTTTTTAGACAATTGAATGTGAAATATAATCGTAAGAGAAGGCAAAAACAGCGAGTAGAGACAAATGTATAAGCCATTTCCTTCCCTGATGATGACGACAACTGAGAAACTGCAGGTGCTCAAATAATAACTTCCTGCCAGCTCCGCTTAGCAGGGGCCGTTTGAATACATCCCTCTGGCTTATTGGGCACACATGCACAGAACACACAGAAACACCACTGTGCGCGCACACACACACACACACACACACACACAGTATCCCCCTGCTGTCTGTTTCTACAGGCTATAGCCTTCTGCGCTGACACATGCTGAGACAGTAGCACACACACGAGACACACAGACCCTGGCCTTAGGCTGGAGACGTTTTTGGAGTTACTGTAAACTCTCTTGCTGTTTTCCATTTTTGGCAAACACACTTATTCAGGCTCCTAATATCAGGGGAGGTGGGCGGTTGTTTATACAGGCCACGTTTGAGCACAAGAAATAAAATACAAAAGTAAGAATAGTATGAGGACAATAGCTTAACACATTTCAAAAATATGCTTCTCCAATTCTAATTGTCCTTAAATATGCAGACGGATTGTGTGGGTTTTCAACTGTTTATTATTACGGTGAGGATAGAAATAAATAAGAGATGAATAGGTTGGTGAAGCAGTTTATATAATCCAATCAATCTGATGCATATTTAGTTATACTTTAGTTACAGTATAACCGTTTTTTTTCTTTCAGGAGCAACACAAAACCGCTGATTCGTTTTTTATTGAAAAGGACGCTGTGACACACAGGACTAATGAGATCCAGTAATGACGTCTCCCGCATAGACAGTAGAACACTGAGGTATGAATAATACAGTTAAACAGTTGTATCCTTATGATACAAAAAAATAATAGAGGAAAATGCATTTCCTCCATTTGAATATTAACTGAACATCAGAGAAAGCTGCTGTTCTGAGTGTGAGTTTGTGCTTTTATGTGAGCAGTGCAATGACATTTTGACGAGTAAGCAAGTCCTCTCCTCTGGCGTTTGGAGTGTGTGTGTGTGCTTTACGTGTGCAGTTCAGTTCAGTGACATTTTGACCAGCGATTGACTTTCCTGTGTGTTTAAGTCTGCGCCCCAGTTTCATCCTCCTGGCGGGGACAGGATAGGACAAACAGAGTGACTGACCTTTCACCTCCAGCCCCCCCCACAGTGCACTCAGGTAGTGTGCCACTCTGCCATGGCGACGAGGGAAGGTGGGTGTCCTTGATTTGAAAGACAGGTCAGTGGGGGGCTTTATTTTAAACCCACCTTCCAGGCTGAAGTAATGTCCGCCTCCGAGCATGAATAAGCCAGTTCATTTAGCTCATACAAGCAATTGCAGTATTGTGTTGATTATTTTAAAAGTGATTTCTGAAACCTCTTGTTGTATAAAATCTACTTTACAATGTTTTCCTCATGATTAAAGACATAAACGGGAATCATTTGGGAAAGTGTTTGATTTACAAAATGTGCAATATCTTAGAGAGCATGACATCCTAAAGGGTGGTTATAATTAGAGATGTCCCGATCCGATCACGTGATCGGGGATCGGAGCCGATCACGTGATTTTCAAAAGATCGGAATTGGGAGGAAAAAAATCGGGGATCGGGATTTGTTTTCGATAAAACATTTTTATTATTTTATTTAATGTTACAAAACAAAAATGACCATGTTCACGTCTTAAAGTCATCCTGAGGCCTTAGTTTGGGTTTAAAATGACACAACACCATGTATGTGTTGCTTCTGTTGGGCTTGTTTTCAGACCTGGTTGCTTATTCCTCTCAAATCTGGCAACAGAGTGGGCGCAGTGTCTAATAGTAGCAGTAAGCTAACAAGAAGCTACGTTCAGCTGGTGACTCGGGACAGAGAAAATGTCAGGAGTTTGGAAGTATTATAAAATTGAAAGCGAAGGCAGTGTAACAGCCAGACGCAATGTTTGCAAGGCGGAGGTTCCGCGTGGAGGAAAGAACAGAGCTACGTTCAACACGACCAATCTAACACGCCACCTGAGAAACAAACACCAACAACAACACGACGAGTACACAGCGGCCACTCAGGTAACGGCACTGAAACAACCGACACTTTCAGAGACTTTTAAAAGGAAAGACAAACTGCCCCAGAACAGTGAAAAGGCCAAACAAATAACAGCCAAGATAGCTGAATTCATCGCGTTGGATGACCAGCCGTTATCTGTTACCTTTTTTTCCTCTTAATGCATTGCATAAAGATCGGATCGGGAAAAATCGGTATCGGCAGATTGTCAAAATCAAATGATCGGAATCGGATCGGGAGCAAAAAAGGTGATCGGGACATCCCTAGTTATAATATATATTTAAAGAACCTATATTTATAAAGGTACACCTGGCTTGTTTGCATGTGTCTAGCAATGTAAAAATGAATGGCATCGCATATTTTCTTTCCCGTTTTTGTACACCAGCCTTTCACAGACTTGGCTCACGGTGTTCCTGCATCTTGCTGTTTACATCTCGTCACATCTGTCCACATGTATCCACAGAAATCACTCACAGCGTTACCAAAAAATACAGCAAAAATCTAATAATGACTTAAATCTCAGCTCGTACAAAAGCTTTCCCTCTCGGTGCATCTCTTACTACTCAGTCCTTAAATCCCCCTGAGCCAAACAAAGCACAGTTGCCAAGACAATGACAGCAGGTGACACCTGACAATTAAAAGAGCTACTCGTAACACCTCAGTCAATTATCCTAATGATAGTGGGGAAATATGGAAAACAATTAACTGTCTTTACACACCAAGTGTAAGTTGGATTGCAAATTGTGCAGTTGTAAACGACGAAAATCAATCAAAAAAAGACATATATATATTGAAGGGATACATAAGAATCAATTATACAGCTCAGAAATAATTCACTACATCGCAGTTACAAGTGTACGTTTACATATTTCTTAGTGTGTGTGTGTAAGCACGTGTCATTTTCTCAAAGCTGTGACATTTCCAAGACTATAAATGCTGTGTTTGTGCCAAAAGCATGAAAAGCATAATCTGCCTAACATGTGTTTCTTCAAATACTGACTCATGAGCAAACAGAAACACACACAGGCAGTAACACACACACCCAAACACCATCATATTTGCAGAATACCTTCACTCTGTGTCCATTCATTCCGGCACTCACACATACCTGTCGAGTCCAACCCAGTGAACCCAGCCGGGGAACGTTACTCCACTCTCCCTGTCTTCATTTTCTCTCCTGCTTTCAAAAGTCCTCTCTACGGTGTTCCAGCGGTGGCTCTAATTGCGCTTTACCTGTCCGACTCCAAATCACTGTTTCCACCCCCTCTCAACTCTCTCGGTTTTCCTCTCTTTCTGTCTAAAGCCGCCGGTCACACAAAGGTTTGTGAAGCTTTCTCCGATGGCGGCTGCTACCGCCACTGACTTGTTGTACTTTAATTGCGGTTGCTAGGCGATAAGCTTCTCCAATTCTGCACACAGTGAGAAGGGGCGGACAGGAAAGGAGGGGGGAGAAAGAGAGAGAATAGGTGGTGGTGGTGGTGGGGGGGTAGGAGGAAATGCTCATTATAGCCTGAAGAGAATGATCAGTGGGGAAAAGAGCAAGAAGTTGTGCAGATGAGAGACATGAATTGATGGATGGATGGATGGATGGATGGAGGGATGGATGGATGGATGGATGGATGGATGGATGGAGGGATGGATGGATGAATGGATGAATGAATGGATAGATGGAGGGATGGATGGAGGGATGGATGGATGAATGGATAGATGGAGGGATGGATGGATGAATGGATAGATGGAGGGATGGATGGATGAATGGATAGATGGAGGGATGGATGGATGAATGGATAGATGGAGGGATGGATGGATGAATGGATAGATGGAGGGATGGTATGGATGGATGATGGATAGATGGAGGGATGGATGGATGAATGGATAGATGGATGGATAGATGGAGGGATGGATGGATGGATGGATGGACCTTACTGTGGAACTCTGAGCAGCCCGGAGCACTTAAGCCGGAGCAACAACACACTTAGAGGATTTGTTATAATTCTCTAAATGGACAAGTATTTAGAGAATTTGTGTACTTATTGAAAGTCAGTTTTTCTGCTTGTGGGTCAAATACCACATTGGCTTTGCGCTCATTAAAAGCAGGAAAGAATTGTGACTACAGCGTAGTTTTCCCAAGTATGTTTGGAGGGACAAATCAAATCTAGTGTCAGCAGTAAATAAACAATGAGCTAATTATCAGTTTGAGCCCACAAGTGATGCTAGTTGTTGTTTTTAATGAATACAAGTGTTTTACGCTAACAAACCGCTCAAATCAGCTTTTGGGTGTGCAATGTAATGTATGTTATCAAGGATTCACTTTAAATGGAATATTACGGCATTGCTATGGTTGTTAAATTGAAAAAAGGTTTTATTGCATTTATAAAAACTGAGCAACTCCATTTTCTTTGATTAGGCGAATAGCAGTAAATCATCAGCGTACAGTTGTTGATAA